CCCTGTGTGTCAGTAGTGTGGCACTTACTGCTGTGATATAGTTGAAGGGGGAGGACTCGTCTTCGCCTGCTGTTGCCTTTGCGCCTGCAACAGCAGCAGCAGGGATAGCCAGCAGCAGTGCCAGCAGCGCCCTATTGCCCCTCATGGTGGAACTCCTTTCGTTTTGGAGGAGTCTAAGTAAAGAAAAATGCTTAGCTTCTAGTTCGCCTCAATCTCGATCAAGAAAGGGCCGGTTTTCAGCCCCAGTGAAGCATTGGCCTTTTCCTTTGGTGTACGCGCGTGAAACTTATTCCTGTAGCTCGATTACGTTCTTTCTCGGCGCATCTCCAAGAAACAACCCTGATCAACTGATATTATTATGCTTTTAAATGTATTTCATGAAGCAATATCCCAAAAATGCAACTTCAGCCACAGGGCGGCGCTGCATACATATCGGCAATTGGGTCTGCATGACTGCTCTTCTTCCGCAGCCGCCGCTGCGAAGGGGAGTTTCCTGCGTTTTTCCTCTGAAGCCCTCAATTTACATTATTTTAATTGGTACAAACGTCGATTTGGAGTCATTTTGTCGGCGGTTACACCTGGCGGGACACCCAAAGGCACTTCGCTCCGACCCTGTTTCGAGTTTCCGGATTACGTGTTGAGGGTTTTTCTGAAGCAGCAGAGGGACGAATTCTAAAGAGGTATATAGCTCCTCGCAAGCCGGCTTCGTGAGAGTTGAACTAGTTGCTGTGCGCAGCTAATAGCGCCTGGACCAGTACAACTGGCCCTGGCGGCAGCTGGGAAATAATCGACGAAGACGGACAGACAGACGAAGAGACACAGGCGATAAAGCCAGACGCGCACAGACAGACGAATAGAAACGTGTTAGAGAATCATCGAGGCGCAAGCACATACAAAAACTCCACCCCATGGGGATGGAGGGGAGGAGGGCAAGTGTGCGAACCTGAACAGAAGCCTCTCTTGAGCAAAGCAGCAGCAGCAACATGTGTGAAAGAGGCGTCTGGCAGCTGCAGCAGGTTCTCCTGCGCTATAGCGAGACCGGCTATAGCAGCAGTGGCGTTCGTTTCTACCTGAAGCACTTGCTACCCAGTTGGGAACAGCGGAACCCTCAGGTGCGTGGCCCTTCACTTCCACCGCATATTTCGTCCTAGTTGGAGTCTGTAGGTAGTTCCTGGATGTCACTGGCGTTGAGGTGTATCTGCGGACCTTCCTGCGCCTACGGGCGCATGAAGCATTCGTGTATATATGTGTATTATGTGTATTCAAAAGTCTAAACCCTAGAAACATGAATAACTCGACGACTTTGCCAACAGCTGCGAGCAGTGCGTTCGCATGATGCAGGTAGAACATTCTAGGGGTAATGGCGGTGTTGCTGCTGCTGCTGCTGCTGCTGTTTGTGCTGCAGGTGGAGGTGCTTCTGCAGCAAGACAAATATGCCCAGCCGCAGGCGACATTTGTGTTTAGGTCTGGGGCCCGATCTGAAACCCCTTTAGCGAATCTGCAGCCACGGCAGCTCGAGGAGCTGCTGCAGCTGCACAGAGACAGCTCTGGGCCGAACCACTTCCTCAAGCACGGGGGTCCGAAAGTGTGGACGGAAAGGCGCTCTATACAGGTAAACTCTAAATCCTAGGCTCTAACCCTTTTACACGACTGCGCGGTGGAAATATGTTGGGTGTATGCGCTAGTTGCATACTGATGATGCTGACTCCGTGAACCTAGAAAGACAACAATGCAGCTCTCACTTTTTTGCATTTCCTTCGTCTTTGATTGTTTGTTTGATGTGTTGTTTCGTAGTCTGTTAACCTACTTGTTCATTTGTTCCTTGGGATTTCTGTTTGTTTCCCTAGAGTCCTTTGTTTGTTTATTTTGTTGTACGAGTACATGAGTTTCTCTGCGACGGATTTGTTGTGTTTGTTGCAGGGGTTGTGGCGCCCCTCTTTGCCTTCCCAGTTGTTGGCTCTGCGTTGGTTTAGGCGTACGCGGCC